AGCCCAGGGCTACGCACCCCAGTGCTCATCCACGTGCCCCTGCAGACACACAACTTCCTGTCAGGACAAAACGCATGACTGGGCTGTACTATTTCTAGGCTTATTACACCTGCCACAATTTCCCCTGCAAGGTTTGCATGCCGTCACAGATCAGGGTTGAAAGGGTTCTTTTCCACCGCACTGTGGGGGAGAGGGGCAGGGAGCGTCCCTTCAGATGCATCTTGCCTCAGTGCCTTCCTGGAGCTCTCATGCTCCCCCAGGAGAGCCAGGAGCTGGTGAGATGAGCCTGGGCTGATCCCATGTGGCCTCCTGGCTTCCCTCAAGACTCAACCCCAGCCCTCAGGTACCCCCTGCCTGGTCTGTCCCTGGGGAAGGCAGGTCTGTGGCTGCTGGAGCCAATGGCAGGGCCAGGGCCCCATGTCCAGCCGTGCTTGGCCACCCCCACCTGCAGCTGCTCGCTCGAGGCAACTTCTGCTTCTGGCTCACAACCCAGCATTTCTCGCACCAGCCCCAGAGCCCTGCACAACAGAGCTCTCTGTGCCAGGAGCCGCTCCCTGCCCTGCTGCCAGGATGGCTGAGAGCTTGATGTATGCTGAACTGCAGGTCACCAAGCCCTCCCCGGGACGAAGCACGAGCCCCTGGGTGCAGGGGACAGGTAGGAGTTGGGGGCAGAGGCAGGGTGCGGGCAGGCGGTGTGGACCCCGGAGAGTTGCAACCCCAGGGACCAGAAGCAAAGCAGGGCAGGGGGAAGGGGCTGCTTAGCATCAGGGAAGAGCAGGGCTGGCAGGGCCTTCATGAGGTCCCATCTAATCCAGTCCCCTGCTCCAGGCAGGATCAGCCCTGTGCAAACCACCCTAGATTCGTGTCTCTCTGGCCTGGTCCTGGCACTGAACAATCAACCTGGCTGCATGGTGACTGGGTCCCCAGCCCGCAGCACTGAACCTGCCAGAGGCGAAGCCAGGGAGCGAGGGCTAGGCATTAAAAATCCCTTCCTCGCCTCATGTAGCCATCAGCAAAACCCCAAAGCCTGGGGCAGCCACAACCCAACTCTACCCTGCAGCCTGGGTGCAGGAAGGAGAGCCACCCCTCAGCCCTCGCACGGGACAGCCCCTCCATCACCTGCCCACTCACTGTTACAGCCAGAGCTGCCTGTCTGTACCCTCATGCACTTATCTCAGCAGCTTTCATCCCTTACATCCATGCCAGGTCTGGAGATCAGCTTCATTCTCCTGATGCTGGATGTGGTCTAGAATCAGGAGCAGGTGTGTTGGAGGACTGAGGTCTGTGCGGGGCCAGGACAGAGGTCACCCTGGATAGTACCATGTGCCAGAAGCTCCGTAGCAGCAGCAGGATTTGTCCCAGAGTCACTCACCGGGGCATCCAGGGCAGAAAACAGCCGTTGTAAGGGGATGGACATCCCCAGGCTGAGCCTTCACTGCACCCACCAGGCCCCAGTTCCTTCCTGTGGGGCTGACACTTCCCCTTCTCACTCTCACTTTGCTCATGGTTTATTTCTGGCCAATTTCCATTCAGTAGAATTACCCTGTGGCCCCAGGGGAGGGGAGCAGGAGCCAGGGGCTGCACACACACGCGGACAAGGCTCCCTCAGGACAGAGCCCAGCCCAGGCACAGGGGCAGGGAGGAAGAAGCAGTTCCTTGACCCCCCACCCCCCACCCTGACCAGCTCCTGTGTCTGCAGCCCCGCACCAGGCTGATGGCACCTATGACAACTTCCAGCAGGGCCCAGTGGGCGAGGGGCCAGCCAGGCACAGAGCCCGGCAGCGCAGAGGTGAGTGTCACACATCCCCCAGAAATGCGGGGGATGTGGGGGCGATAACTGCAGCGTGGCAGAGCCCTCAATGCCTCGGCTTGGAGCAAGCCCCTCTGCAGGACCGTGCATCCAGGCACCCCACCTGTCAGCCCCTGCCCCCCACAGGAGCCCTTGGCCCTGGCTGGGAGTGGGGAGCAGGGCTTAAATGTGGGGGCTTCAGGCCTGGTGCCCCCTGCCTGGTGTGAGGGCTGCAGGGGTGGTGGGTTTGGGAGCCAGTCCCACGGTGCCTCCTCTCTTGCAGAGCGCCGGTGGAGAGGACGGGCCCTGCCCCTGATCCTGCTGGCAGCCTGTCTGGTCCTGCTGATCACCACCATCACCCTGGGGGTCTGCTGTGAGTAGGGAGTCCTGCCAGGCTGGAAGGGAGTGTGGGTGGGAGGGAGATGGGCAGGGGTGAGGGAAGCATGGGGGATGCAGGGAAGCCTTGTCTTTGTGTCCATGCCCATGTCCTGGTGCTGCCTTGGAAGGCTCCCACCAGCTGCACCAGGTGGGAGGTGTGAGCACCGGTGGGTCTTGCCCCTGCTGCAGCCACAGAGCCCAGCCGGGGGTGCCAGGCCCTGCCCCTGGCACTGACGGCCCCATGCATGCAGACTGGCAGCAGGGGCAGCGGCTGCAGCAGACATCCCGTGCCCACATCGTCGAGCGCGATGGCCTGTGGCAGCAGGTCGATGTCCGGGAGCAGCGGCTGAGGCAGGTGGGTGCAGTGCTGGGGAAAACCCAGGAGGAGCTGGCACAGACCCGAGTGGAGCTGGGACAGGCACGGCAAGAGGGGAACCGCAGCCAGGAGGATCTGCACAGGCGGGACGTGGAGCTGCAGGACACCAGAGTGCAGCTGAAGGAGACCAAGGCAGCACTGGAGCAGGCGCAGGAGCATTCCTGGGACCTGCAGCAGCAGCTGGACGAAGCTGCCATAACCCAGGCCAGAGCATGGACCTGCCAGGTCACAGGTAGCCCAGGGTGGGGCAGAGCCAGGGAGATGGCACTGGCCATGGGAGCAGGGCAGGGAGTGGAGGGCAGTGCTCAGCTTCATGCACCAGTCCTGGTGTGATGGAGGGGCTGAGCCCCTGGCCATGGGGGTGCTGGAGGAAATGCTTAGGGGGCTTAGGCACTGGGGATGGAACAATTCCCAGAGACCTTGGGGATCCCAGCCCAGGCTGCTGGGGGGACAGGTGTGAGGGGGCTGCTGGGCTGCCAGCCAGTGGGGGAGTTGGGCAGGGCAGGGGCACCTAGGATTGCACAGATCCAGGCTTAAAGCCAAGCCCTGACCTCAAAGCCAGGCCTGCCTGGCCCCTGCACCTGAGACCCACTTGCCCAGTGCTGAGCAGGCCCCAGGCCCAGGTGGGTGGGAGGGAGACCTGGGAGTGGGGGCAAAGGGCAGAGGCATGGGTATGAGTGGCTGCCTCTGCCCAGACTGCTGCCCGGAGGCCTGGGTGCTGCACCACGGGAAGTGCCTGTATGTCACCAAGGAGGAGAAGACCTGGTGGGACAGCAAACGCGAGTGTGAAGACCAATTCTCTCAGCTCCTCGTCTCCTGGGAGTGGGAACGCACAACCATGCCGGTATGGGACCATGGGGCCCTGGGGCTCTGGGGATGCAGTGGAAAGGTGGTGCCTGGTGGAGGTGGAGATTGAAAACCTGCCTGGGATTGAGATGCTGGGGGCAAGGCAGGGCAGAGCAGCCCCCCCAGAGGCATTTCACTAGGACTGGGCACAGCCAAAGTGTGCAGAGGGGGCGGTGCTGCACTGCCTACCAGGTTGACCCATCTGTGCCACCTCTGGCCCCCGGCTCTAGTGGGTCCTGCAAAGGGTTGGGGCTGGGAGCAGCTGGAGTGGATGCAGGTGCCCTTGATGTGTGCAGCTGCTCAGGGGAAGGTGTGGGAGCTGGGGGGCGGCAGTGCCACCAAAGGCCCTGCTCCATCCTTCCCCAGTCCTATTCTGCTGCCCATCCATGGGGAGGTCCCATGGCCCCAGCTGCCCCCTGTCCTCTGGCTCTGGCCTAAGCCTGGGGCTGTATCAGAGCAGTCCTTTTCTCCCCAGAGCTTCCTCACCAACACGGACACCTCGTTCTGGATCGGGCTCCGGCAAGACCAGGGCCAGTGGACTTGGATCGATGGGACTTCTTCCAAAGAGTGAGCAGCACTTTGGTTCCTCAACCCGGGAGTCCCGTTTAGCTCCTGTCATGGCCCCTGCACAAGAATGTGCCACGGGAGCAGGGGACTCTGGGCAGAGTCTGCCCTCGGTGGGAGGAGAGGTGCTGTTAGGGTCGGCACCCCCTGGGCAGGGATGATCTAGGTGTAGCGATGTCTGTGCTCTGCTATGGGGATTTCCCAGGTTTCTGGGCTGTGCTGGTAGACCCCCACCTCCTTCCTGCTCCACGTGTTAGGGAGTTTTGAAGCCTCCTGCATTAGGCTCAGACTAATGCTATTAGATGATGGATTTGTCTGTCTGGGAAAATTTGGACACGGCTATTCCTGCCTTGGGGAGGGCTTGTACTAGCTGTGACCTCTGCAGGTCCCTTGCATCCCCATGGCTCTGGTATTTTGATGAGGACCCTTGATCCCAGGTTATGATGGTGCAGGGTAGAGGGTGCTGAGGGCAGGGCTCTGAGTGGAGCAGAGAAGTGGAACCAGAGCTGGGGCAGGGACGAGGCGTGGATGAGCCAAGGCTGAGAAATCAGCAGATGTTTAGGATGGAGCTGCCAGAGGCTTTGTGGTCTGGAAAGCCAGGCTGCAGGGAGAGGCTGAAGAGGGTCTGGTCACGGAGGGGAGGGAAGCATGAGGCACTGACCACAGCTCTCTGACAGCAGACCTCGCTGGCCTGGTTAGCAAGTCGGGGGCTGGAGGCTGCTTCTACGTGATGTCAGGCAGGGATTGAATGAACACTGGGACCCTGCTGGAGGGTGTGGGGGAGTCTCCTGACAGGGGTCAGGGTGTCTGGGGGAAAGGAAGCTGGGAACAATGATCAGCGCTTGGGGAACGAAGAAAAGTGTACCGGGGTGCTGCGGCAGGGCCCTTGGCACTTCACTGATGCGTGTCTCCGTTCCAGGCCAAGGACCTTTGGGCGGCGGCAGGATTGTGGAGCAATGAAAGGGGGAAACATAGAGACCGCCCATTGCTCTTCCTTTTATACCAAGCGCCTTGCAGTCTGCGAGAAGCCAGCTGAGCCTGACATGCCCCCACGTCTGTTTCCATTCGGCCCCTGGGGAATGAAGATGGGCCCCTTCAACTGAGGCCAGGATGCTTCTCCAGAGCCCCCTGGAAATCCCAAGCCCAGGACTGCAGAGGGCTCTGGGTGAGGCTTCATCACAGCCCAGCAGAGCATTGCCAGCCTCTCCTGCGTCTGACCCTAACATGGCTGTTGATGCAGCCCAGGACTGTGGTTACCCTTTCTGCATCGCCTCATATGGCAGATGCACTGGGTCCATGCTGCACCAAAGCCCCAGGTTCCTCTCCATAGTGCTGCCCCCAGGCATGTCTTTCTCGCTCCATGCCTCTGTTCATGATCCTTCCTCCCGAGGGCAGTGCCGTACACTTGTCCACATTGAACTGGATCTTGTCAGCTACAGCCCGGCTTTCCAGTCTGTCGAAATCTGTCTGCCTTACAATGCTCAGAGCCCTTCCCAGTGTTGTGTGGTCCATAACTTGCTCCAGAAGCTTTCTGTGCCAGCATCCAGACCATGAATGGACACATCGAGCAGCCCCAGGCCCAGGACCAATGCCTGACAGACTCCATGCAAAGCCTCCTGCTGTCTGGAGCCAGTCAGAATGACCGACCCCTTTCCTGGCAGCGATGGAGCCAGCTGTCTGCCCCCGTGTAGTATCTTTGTCCACTTGTTTAATGAGGAGGTTGTATGGGGCTGTAACAGGGTTCCTCTCCAGTGGCAGCCATAGTGCCCTGAAGGGCTCCCAGCCCTTATCCACTTGGCTTTGTTTGGACACTTGCTGCTTTAATTACCGACCATGACTGGATGTACCTATCTTTTAGATAAAGGGAGGCTGACCCAGGGCTTCCTGAGCCTGATCTTCCTACCATGACCACATGTGTCCATACTCATTGTCTTCAGGGCCAATTGGGTGGCTCCAACCTTCCATTTACACAAAGCCCATGCCTCAAAGATGATAATCCTTTGTGTTGACAAGCCCCTTCCTGGGCAATGGGCTCTCATCCCAAGTCCTTGACCTTCTTGGGCTACAAGTGCCTTGGTCCCCATGGTCCCCAGCTGAGAGCCCCAGTCTTTGGTCCCTCTCTCCTAGGCCAGTTGAGACTCCTGGTCTCCCAGGGCCCTGCCAGTCTCCTGCTGTGTCCCTCCTCAGCCTTTGCCACCTCTCTGGGCCCTGGGCCCACGCCTGGGCCAGTGAGACCTTCAGGATTCATGGCTCTGCTGACACTCACCCCTCTCTGGGATCCTTTGGCCTCACACACTTTGCCCTCTGGACCCCTGGCCCCAGGCTCTGCCCTATTACCAGGCTCTGGCCTTGCTCCCTGGCCTCTGACCCTTTTCCAGGCCTGCTGGGATTCCACTTGGCTTTGTTTGGACACTTGCTGCTTTAATTACCGACCATGACTGGATGTACCTATCTTTTAGATAAAGGGAGGCTGACCCAGGGCTTCCTGAGCCTGATCTTCCTACCATGACCACATGTGTCCATACTCATTGTCTTCAGGGCCAATTGGGTGGCTCCAACCTTCCATTTACACAAAGCCCATGCCTCAAAGATGATAATCCTTTGTGTTGACAAGCCCCTTCCTGGGCAATGGGCTCTCATCCCAAGTCCTTGACCTTCTTGGGCTACAAGTGCCTTGGTCCCCATGGTCCCCAGCTGAGAGCCCCAGTCTTTGGTCCCTCTCTCCTAGGCCAGTTGAGACTCCTGGTCTCCCAGGGCCCTGCCAGTCTCCTGCTGTGTCCCTCCTCAGCCTTTGCCACCTCTCTGGGCCCTGGGCCCACGCCTGGGCCAGTGAGACCTTCAGGATTCATGGCTCTGCTGACACTCACCCCTCTCTGGGATCCTTTGGCCTCACACACTTTGCCCTCTGGACCCCTGGCCCCAGGCTCTGCCCTATTACCAGGCTCTGGCCTTGCTCCCTGGCCTCTGACCCTTTTCCAGGCCTGCTGGGATCACCTTAGCTCCCCTTAGCCCTGTCCTCAGACCTCCAGGGTTGCTTGCCCAGGCTCAGGTGTTGCTGCAGCCCCACTGCCAGGAGCTCCTCTCTCTCTGGCTCCCAGGGCTAGACTGCCTGACCAGATCTGGCTCAGGCTTATATTGGCTCAAGCCCCATCCCCCTCATCAGGTGACTCTAATTAGCCTCCCCCTTCCTCACCTCCAGGTTGATTCTCAGGCTGCCTCTTCCCCCCTAAAGTGACAGGCGCACACTAAGCCCCTGTCCAAGGGACCTTGCCCAAAGCCTTGTTGAAATGCAGACACACAACACCCTTGGTAGGCCTTTCATCCACCCTGTAGTTACTCTGTTGTGGCAGGAGATCAAGTTGTTGGATATGATTTGTTGGAGAAAACCCATGCTGCCTGCTCAGGATGAACCTTTCATCCTCCAAGTGCTTGCAAATGTCCTTCCTTAGTGTCTGTACAGGTAATTTCCTGGGGATCCAGGTGAGGGTGACGGGTCCATAATTCCCCATGTCCCCTCTTGGTTTTTTTAGAGAGGGGCCCTATATTTGGCTTTTTCAGTCCTCTGGACCCTACCTGTGTCCCACAACTCCATCAGTGTCATTGCCAAGGGCCCCAAGGGCCCTGCCCTGTGGTGCAGTTCCTGAGGCCCTGATATCCTGAGTTCACGCAGACCCATCAGACACCGTCTAGGAAGGGGCTTGGTGGGGTGAGCTCTGTGGCAGAATACCATCTCTGTCTCTCCCCAAACTGCTATCTGACAATTTGGTTACCCTGGTCACTGCAGAGGGCAGGCAGCCCTGCCCGCATCTGCTTCAGGTAACCCTGAGTGGTAACCTGAGCTGGATACATTCCTGAGAGAGGGAGAAACCTGCTCCCTCTGCCTACATGACTGACCACATGTACCTGGGTGGGGGCTTAAACTCCCTATTGGTCTAAGCAATGCCAACATGACTGGGAGGGGTGTAAAGACTCTGCCAGTCTACCCGCCAACCAGTGATGTATTTCAAATTGGTTGGCTGGCAGCCAACAATTGCTGTTCTTCATTGGATCAGGTAAATGAGGTCATAAGGTCCATATAAGTGAAGAACTGCCGGGGGGGAGCCATGGTGAAAACTCATAGAGAAGTTGGACCACCTGAAATTTGCTCTCTCTCTTGAAACTCATGATCAATGAACTGTTTGCCTCCAGAGGGAATCTCCACCTGCCTCTGGATGATACTTGTGGGTAAGTTACCTGAGATCTAACTAGATACATAGCTTGCAGTAACTCAGATATGTGATCAAAGGCTACCGTGCCACTGTTTTCTCTAAGGTATTTCTTTGATATTGCTCTACCCTGTACCCTATTCCAAACCTACTCCTTGTAACCAATAAAGTTTTCCTTTGTACCTATCATGGGAGACTTTTTGGAAGAGGGTCTAGATTATGCCTTGGAGTCCCCTTGGTTTGGCTGACTAAGGGAGGCCACTGTTTGTGCTTCAGGCTGAGGGAAGCACCCCAAGTTCTTGCAGTGGGTCAAGTACCCTCAAAGACTAATAGGCCTGTGTTTCCCAGAGGGCACAGGTCCTAGATCAGTCCAGACTCTGGGTGGTGGTGGCGTTACCCCCAGGCTTGCGGGTGTGCTCCAGGAAGGGGGATGGCCTGATACGTGGCACCCTCAGGGAGGCACTCAGAGCCTGGAAGGTGGTCAGGTTCAGTGAGGTGGGCGGCTCAGCGCAGAAGCTGCCCCTACCGGCCCACCACAAGCTCTAGTTATGGAACACATCTGTGACTGGGAGAGAGGCCAGATGAGCTTTGGAGACTAACAAGCCATTCCTACAGGCTGGAGCTGTAGCAGTTGAAGTCTCAGCTCAAGACTTAAGGCCATGGAGACCAGATCATCTGCAGACCACGTGGCACATGGGGTATTTCCTCCTTCCCAAGATGCCAACAGTGCCCCAACCCTGCTACAAGAACTACCTGACCCTCCTGTTAGTGACTGTGTGCCCATCTCCTGTGCCCTGGGGGAGTGGGCCCTGTAACCTGCAAGAGCAAAGTCCCATCAGACCTGAATCAGTTGCAGGGACCTGTCATCCTTGGTGACCCTATAGACAGGGTGCAAGGCTGTACCCTGAGGGCCAAATCTTAGCACCCATGAGCCGTGGGGTCCCCTTGCCCAGAGCCAGTACTGGGAAGCTGTGAAGTGACTCCAGGAAGGTGGGAAGGTCCCAAGCCAGGCTCCTGCCTTGGTCCCTCCGTAGCCCCAGGTGTGTGCAGAAACTTGTGCACGCTTGGCTGCAGCAATGATCTAGTGATGGAGCTGCCAGGGGAAGGAGAAGAGTTACAGTGCAGCAGCTCAGAAGGATGTCCCTGGTGACGTGCAGTTCCTGTCCATCCACCTCATGTACATGATGCTTTTTGGTTATTGTCTGAGCGTGCGTGTATGTGTGAAGGTATGTTGTGTGTGTGTGTGGGAGGGTGCACGCACATGAGCACATGTACACTATTCTAAAAAAAAAGAGTATTTTGAGGGTGTGGTGGAGGAACGTGATGTCTGTGAATTGCTCATGGTACGTGGTGAAGTCTCTGTCAATGGTGCTGTGCCGGGTGCCTCACAAGAACAGAAGAGCTGCCCTGTGTTGGCTCAGACCCCAGGACCATCCTGCCCTGTCTTCGGTCTCAAACAGCAGCAGAGGCTGGATGCCAGAAGAAAAAGTGATCAGGGAACAACCAGGGTTTTTCCCTGCTCCTCTCTCACTTGCAGCCTCAAGCATTTGGGGTCAAGGCAGGTCTGATGCAGAGCCTGTGCACCTCACTCCCTGGTATATACTGACTGATGCCCCACTCCTCCGAGCACATGTTCAGTCCTTTTCTGGGATGCAGCAGCCAATGCAATGCCAGTGCAGACAACATTGAGGCTCCTGGTGCCCCAGTTCCCAGGGATGGTGAAGGGGGCTGAGGCTAGAAACAGTGTAGGCCGAGCCCGGTTCTGGCACCAGGCCATGACATTCAAACCTGCACAGTCCTGGAGCCCCCACCAGTCCTTTCTGCACGGGGGGAGGGAAGGCCTTGGCTGCTGGAGCCAATGACAGGGCTATGGCCATGCTTAGCTGCACCCATCTAATTTTGAGACCACTTCTGCTTCTGCCTGATGCTCCGGCACTTCCCTCCTGCTGGGACGTGCTGCACTAGACTTCAGTGCCCCACCACCAGGATGGGTGAAAGTGTGACATATGCTGATCTGCGGTTCTCCAAGGCCCCCCAAGGATGGAGCATGACCCCCCGGGTGCAGGTTTCAGGTAAGAGCCAAGATGCCTCCACCACCCATCCCGTCCACAGCCCCACACCCTGACCAACGCCTGTATCTGCAGCACCACCAGTCCCGGACGAGGCTGACGACACGTATGAGAACCTCCAGCTGGGCCCAGTGGGTGAGGGGCCAGCTGGGCATGGGGCCCAGCGGCACAGAGGTGAGTGCAAGGCCATCCTGTGCCCTGCCCAGGGCTCCCCAGCAGGGATGGAGAGAGCTCACAAGGGTGCACAGCTGGCTCGGGTGGGAAACAGGATGGCAGGGGCTGAGATCAGATGATAGACGGGGCAGGGGATGGAGGGGCTGTCCTGGTCCAGGGCTGAGGGGTGGGCTTTGCTTGCTGTGCCCAGGCTTCAGGGCAGAGCAGGGTGCGTGGCTGCCCCAGGCTCCAGGGCTTTGCTGGTGTCCACATGGGTCAGGAAGGAGTGTTTCCCCCTCCCCAGTTGCTGCAGGCATCAGGGTTTCCTCTCCTGGCCTCAGAGGTGCTGGGTGTTGGCTGCAGAGAGGCACTGGGCTGTGTGGGTATGAGCGTGGGCAGGGCTGGAGGCACTGTGCACATTCACCCGTTCAGACACATTCACATGCTTGCTCATACATGGCAGTTCCCTGTGGGTGATGCTGCCACCTTCCTTGCAGCCCACGCCGGGGCAGAGGGCAGGGCTGTGCCAATGCTCCTGCTGGGACCAGTCCTGCAGGGTCCTTTCTAGAGGTTCTCACCCCTGTGCTCAGACTCAGCCTCAGGATGCACTGGGAGCAGGAAGGGTGGGAGCAGGTGTGGGGGGAGGATCTCGTTCCTCCCCAGATCCTTCCTGCCCTGGCAGAGCAACTCGCTGGCAGCAGTGGGTCAGGAGAGGCTTCAGGCCTGCTGTCCTGTCCCTGGTATGGGGGGGCCACAGGGGCTGAAGGTGCCTGGGCTGGTCCCATGGTGCCTCATCCCTTTATCTCTTGCAGAGCCCCTGTGGAGAGCACAGCCCTTGTCCCTGGGCCTGCTGGCAGCCTGCCTGGTCCTGCTGACCACCACCATTGCCCTGGGGGTCTGCTGTGAGTCGATCCCCGCTGGGCTGGCAGGGAGAAGGGGGGTGGAGAGATGGGCAAGGGTGGATGTAGTGTGTGTGAGACAGGAGACATTTGTTCCCGTGCCCGCATTCATGTCCGTGCCCTGGTGCTGTCTTGGGAGGGTCCTGCCAGCTGCATCACCCCTGTGGCTCTGGGGGTTGGGTGGAGGTGTGAGCATGGTGGTGTCCTGCCCCTGCTGTGGCTGCAGCACCCAGCCAGGGGTGCCCTGGTTGCTGACTGCCCTGTGCCCACAGACTGGCAGGAGGGGCAGCAGCTGCAGCAGGCGTCCCATGCCCACACGACCGAGCGTGAGGGCCTGTTGCAGCAGGTGGGAACCCAGGAGAAGCGGCTGGGGCAGACAGGTGCGGCGCTGGCACTGGCCCACGATCAGCTGAAGAAGGCCCAGGAGGCACTGAGGCAGATGCAGGAAGAGAGGGACCGCAGCCAGGAGGAGCTGCACGGCCGGGATGCGGAGCTGCAGGAAACGAGGTTGAAGCTGAAGTCGGCCAAAGTGGAGCTGCAGCAGACCACGGAAGCGCTTCGAGAGGTCAGGGTGGAGCTGGCACAGGCACGACAGGACATGAACCACAGACAGGAGGAGCTTCAGAAGTCCAGGGCAGAGCTGCTTGAGACCAGGGTGCAGCTGAAGCTGGCACAGGAACAGGCCCACAACCTGCAGCAGCAGCTGGACAAGGCTGTCAGAGCCCAGGCCAGCATGTGGCCCTCCCAGGTCACAGGTAGCCCTTTGTGGTGCACAGCCCCCAGGTGCAGGGCAGTGCCCAGCCCCATAATGGAGGGGTCAAGCGCATGGGTGTGTTGGGCACTGCAGGAGGTGTCTTTGGGGAGGGTCAGGTACAGCCCTGGGGATGGTGCAAGTCTATGAGACCCCGGGCAGCCCAGCCCATGCTGCTGGGAGGACAGGTGTGTGGGATCTGCTGGGCTGGGAACTTGTGGGGATGTTGGGCAGGGCATGGGCTTCTGGGATGGCAGAGCCATTCTCAGAGCTGAGCCCTGACCTCAGAGCTGAGCCTGATCAGCCCCTGCACCCAGGATCCTCCCGCCCAGTACAGAACAGGCCCCGGGCCCCTATTGCTGACAGAGAGACCTGTAAGCTGAAGCACATGTCAGGGGCATGCATGTGAGCAGCTCTCTGTTCCCAGACTGCTGCCCAGAGGCCTGGGTGCTGTACGGTGGGAAGTGCCTCTTCCTCTCAAAGCAGAAAAAGACCTGGGACCAAAGCAAACAGGAGTGTCAACGGATAAAATCCCGACTCCTCATCCCCCGGGACTGGGACCACACTGCCATGGAGGTACTGGGATGCAGGGCCTGGGATGCATTGGGAAGACTGTGTGGCGGGCCAGTAGGGGGTGCTCCTGCGTTGAGCCGCCCACCTCCCCGCGCCCGACCACCTTCCAGGCTCCGAGTGCCTCCCTGGGGTG